CAAGAAGTCTGTACACAAACAAATCACATTGTAAATGTCCAGTGGCAGAAAGGATAAAGCTGTGTACACAGAACTCTACATAGCCAATTTACCACAAAACAGCTGTTGGTCTATTGGTCAAACCCACTGTCAATACTCCATACAACATCAACTATGCACTTGCCAAAACCCCTTTTATGGGGTCTTCATAACCGAATCAGAACTTTTTCCATTTGATCTGTTTTGCACAATGCTTTGCATAAATATGTGATTGTAAACATAAACACACGATATTTTTGCCATAAGTTTGTCAAAAACAATCATAATTTGACCAGAAAAGTACATCTTCCACTTTAGGCAAAATGTTGATGATTCACAATGTTCTGACTGAAAGGAAATATATCTTCTGACAGGAAGGCTTAACTTTATGATCTTGCACATCCTGACTTCCTTCAAGGGAATTAACTCAGTGAGTGAGTTGGGTTTTACGCCGCTTTTAGCAATATTCCAGCAACATCACGGCAGGGGAAACCAGAAATGGGCTTCACACTGTGCCCATGTGGGGAACGAACCTGGGTCTTCAGCACGACGAGTGAAAATAAACTCAGAGATGCAAACTCTGATTGAAACTTTGGAGTCATCAGTAGTGAAGAAAAGCAAAAATTTTGTGAGAAAAAGTGTAATGTGAACAGTACCATAACAGTTTTACGCCTTGACGTTTTTTGTTGACAACATATAATTCATGAAATTCATGTGACACCAACTAAATGTTTTTCAGAAAGACAATGAGGTGTTTTCAAACGGTGTACATTCAGTTACATCCTGTCTGCATCGACAAATATATTTTTTATAAAATGACTTTTGAGCATGCTTAACAAAGAACGACCAATCAGAGACCTTGTATCATGAAATAATGGATATTGCAATACTGCGATTTGAAAACATGGCTTTCATTGATCAGTGTAGTTTCACTACAGAATGCTATATGTCACCAGTTCAGAAACAATTTGCTCTCCGTGGATACAAAAAAGGGACAAAAGTTGTAATTTGTTGGGAGGACAAGTATGAGAATGAATTGTAAACTCAAATTATCACATCATGGTAAACATCTCGGCTCACAAAACAACACAAGTTTTTATTGCTAAACTCTCTTCATGCACGTGGCGCATTGCGACTAGGGAATTACCACTGTCAAGGACTTATCCTCCAATCTCATCTGGTAAATATGACAAGTAAACAATCTTGCAACAAACTCTCCAATACATGGCAGGGACTGTAAACAATTAAAATAAACATCACTTTGAGGAAAGCACTTAGTTTAATAAAATGTGTGTGTATTTTCTAATAGTAAATGAGGCGAGGGCATTCACACTTACACAACAGAGAGAGTATGGTTGAGTATGATCTTATGCTGCTGTTGGTAATATTCCAGAAATATCACGGTTGAGGAAAGCAGAAATAGGCTTCATACATATTACCCATGAGCTGCCTTTCATTCCATCTTTGGTATCGTGTGACCAGATCAACTCCAGACTTAAGTAAAACTGTTTTTTGTTTCTAATGCTGCACTTGGCAATATCCTATGAAAATAACATCAGCTTGCAAATAATAGCATCAGAACCAGACATTTGTGAGTACAATCCCTGCCATTCGGGTACAGGGATGTCCTATCAATCCAGACATAGACTCAGCACCCAATCCATCAGTTGCCAATAGCAACCAGCAACAGTTGCTAGGGACTCGTTCTAACCAAAATATTATTAAAATAAATACTGTGGGCATTCACAAACATAAATAAAAGGCAATAGTTTCATGTCTTCAAACAGTTCTGTACATCTTGATCAATATCCTCAGATATACATACAACTATACATAATACTGTCATACACTCACTGAATATTTTCACATGTGAAGACAACAAGCTCCATGCTGTACTGATCTGGAATCACATTCCACTGGATGCATGACAAGATACAGCATAGACATGTGTTTATTTACAAAAGTTAGCCCACCATGAACCACCCCTGTGACCTGATTCTGTATTAAATGTGTGCATGTAACAGTAGGGAATGTCATCAAATCGACAGTCTACTTGGATGGTCAAAATTCCATTATTTGTTTTATCATGGAAACACTTTTTGTATTTTTTATGACTCCATTGACATGAGTCAAAAGCAACAACCATAAAATATGCATTGTTTCAACTTTGTCCCCTTCTGTTCCTCCTTTAAAGTAGCCATGGTAACATTTACCTTTTCAATAATTGCTTAAAGTGATTGTATTCACATTTGGTCACTGAAAACTCTAAAGAACAAGGAATCAATAAAGTAAGTATGTATACTTATTAGTGTATAATTCCTAACATTTTGCACCTTAAACAATAGTGGCATTTCTTATATTTTCAGTACGCCTACTGACCACAAATAATAATCTTGGTAAAAATTAAAAATATAAAGGTTACAAATATTACCTGACAGTGTTTCAGACTAAAGTTAAAGTAAATAGCGAGCGAAACCCTGATCCATGACACCTGTCCAAACAAGTTTACACCCTCTGATCCACAGACACAAATTGTTCTATAAAAATCCTACTGTACGATTTTTGGTTGAGTTGGCATCCAAGAACCATGATGGACAATGTAAGGTGACTTTGTGATTCCTCATTTCAGACATCCTAAATATCTCCATTCAAATAGCAATGTGAAAAGCAACAGCATGTGACATGTTCATGTGATACAAACAAAACCATCAGTGATTCACTGCAGCCCTTGACTAAACCGCTTAACAATGCATCCCTTGTCGCGGTGATACTTGAGAGAAGATCTCCATTTAAACAGACGTCCACACATATGACAACTGTACATTCTCGCTGCAGTCTCTTCCTTCACCTCAACCAGTTCTGCTGGAGCAGACGTCCTTGGCAGACATCTTTGTTGGTGTTCTTGAAGACCGATTTTAAACTGAAACACAGCCCCACAGTTTTCACACCTCTCTGAAGGTGTCATACTGTGCGTGGAAAGATGGTTGCGATAGTTCCACAGATTTGTAAAGCCTTTCCCACAAATTTTACACTTGTACTGAAACTTCCCTAGATGCTTCGAATCAATATGAAGTTTCAGACCCAGTTGTGACCTGAATGATTTGTTGCAGAATCGACACAGGAGTAATACTTTTGGCGGGTTTTCTGAATCCTCAGTAGACATGACCATGATGGTGTTCTGAGGATCTTCTGAGCAGTCCGCCTCACTGCAAAGATCCCTCTCTTCTGTGTCCGGCAACAAACACTTAAAGTCTCGGATAACTGAGTCCGGGTGCTGCCCTCTACTGGAAGAACTATCTCTTTCATTCTCTTTGGATTCAAAAATGCTTATTGCTTCTAACATCCCTGGATTTCCTGGCATATTTTCGGACATGATCATCACGTCTTGTTCCCTGGGACTCTGGAGATGTGTCACTGGGAGGACCATGGGCTGGAACCGATTAACATTGTCCATCCCACATGTGCTGGGCCATGGATAACCAGGTTTAGACGGAATGGGGGAGGCTTTCTTTATATGCCACGTTCGTAAATGACGTTTAAGAGCTCCTACAAAAGATGTGGTGTAAGAACACAAGTTGCACCTAAGCAGATTGGGATTGCTTTCATGGCTCATGCCACCTTGCTGTTGAGCCATTTCCAGGGCATCTGCAAACAAAGAAAATCACAAGGTCAAACAGTTTTAGAAAAAGACAGTCAAGGAACTCAAACTATGAAGAGAGAAAACAAGATGGCACTTATTTTTAATGAATTTCTTCTCACAGTGCTCCAGTTTGAGTTCCTGAACAAAAAAAATTCAAAGATTCAAAAGTCAGATTGAAACTCAGGAAAGAGCACACATGTCCTCCTTTGCTTTGTTATCATATTTCAATAAATATTTATCCATTAAAATGAAGAGTAAACATGTTCTTAGGAGGAACTAGCCATGGAAAGCAGACGCGAAAAAGTAACCTGAGCTGAGATTTGTAACAGTTTCTGTGAAAATAGCTGAGCCAGTGACCTTGAAGTGTGAACAGTAATGTAGTCAGTATGAAGGAAGCAATTTCTTGACTATTACATAGAAAAGAACATACAGAGAAGGATTAGGGAGGTCAGAAAATCAAGCTGGAGCACTGGGTTACCATGGTTACGGGGTGGTGATATGTTGTAAGAAAGCAAAGATGGGAATGTTGCTCTCACCTTGTGTCCAATCAGCCGACAGCTACACAAACATCAATCCCGTCACCAACAAGAGAACACTGCCTACACGGTCCACACACACACCATGACATACAGCAGGACTCCCTCGAGTCCAGTACGCTTAAAAACAGTGTGGCAGTCAGAACAAGTCATTGTACAGCGGTAACAGGTAGCAGTTGAACAGTTTTAGTGTTTGAGTTGCAGAATCTCAGTTAAAGCTTGGCATGGTAGGTAGCCCAAAGTGATGCAGGTCTCAGACCTTTACCACTTTGGTGAAACCCAAGAGCACGACCACATCTGTCAAATCCGGGATTCAAACCTGTGATCAGCAGATCCTGGTAATCTCTGTTGAGTTCCAAATATTTTCAAGAAATCTTTACTCTTAGGTCTGCTGGGGTACCAGCAAACTTGACAAGCTGAGTATCTACATAGAAACATGTTATCTACATACATATGCATGAACACAGGCATGCATGTTATTTGTACAGCATACTTAACATTTTTCATCCTCTGTGGTTGAATGCAATGTTGCAAGAAAGAGTGTGTGTGTGCGATGTACTTTTCTAATTTGTTACCATGGATACTCCATTTGTCAAAATGTTGCAAAAAGCAGTGATGAATACTGAGTGAGTGAGTTTAGTTTGACGCCACTTTTAACAATATTCCAGCAATATCATGGCGGGGACACCAGAAATGGGCTTCACAATCGAACCCGGGTCTTTGGCGTGACGAGCGAACGCCTTAACCACTAGGGTAGCCCCGTGATGAATACTGAAGTATGACACCAGATAAAAACCAACACATCATGAAGTTTACCACTTTCCACTTTTATTATGCTACTTGAATATCTTTCTAAGTACACACAAAATCAACGTAACAACATGTTCGTATCAACATACAGCAACACTAACCTTCTAAACCAACAGCATTCCTCAGCTGTAGTCTGCAAGATATGTTAAACTTGGGGACACAATTCAAACAGGATATTACATCCACACTTCTAAATTGGGCATGTATGCAAAAGGGGCCTTGTCAAAGCTCAAATGTGGAAGCATATTGGGATTTCATTTGATGATTTTGATGTTTAGCGCCACACTCTGCATTATTCCAGCAAAATGACAGCATCCAGTAATTAAATGTCTAACCCAGACAATCCAGTGATCAATATAATGAGCAACCTTACATTTTGTCAAGGACACGCTCTCTACCAAATTACTTAGCCTGAGCATCCATCCATTTGATTGCCCCTTATGAACATCAATGAAGATCTGTTCGTACCCCAAATTCCTGAAAGGTCCCCGGATTCAAAATAGTGTAAGTGAAAACCTGAACGATAACAGGAACACCCTTAATTTAGAACTCATCTTTCAGCAATCTCAAACAAACTTGCATATAGACAGCTACTAATATATGTCTATTAATCTAAGATAGTTAACAGCATATGTGTATTTATACATCTGAAAAAGGTGCTTAGTCTGTTTCTGTAACAAGAACTACGAAATAAAATATAATAATAAAAATAAACTGAAAAAACAAAACAAAGAAAAGATAATTTTAGAATTCAATCCAGCATAAGTTCATAGTCACTCTTTCAAGAAAACACAAATCAAATCGGTGGTTGTATTTGAAGATCTCTTTGAGATGTGGGTACCTAACCGTTAGAAAATTCATCTTATATATTCAAAGAACAAAGGGAGGTAAGTTGGAGCAACTGGGACTCTGTCCTTGAGACCCTTTCCTTGGCACGCAATTGAGTATCTATACAAATCATATATCGTTGGTAATTGTCGCAGAAAAACTCAGCTATTTCTCCTGATTCCTTTACATGATTGTTAGTTAACAACAGAGGAACACTTGCACCATTAAATACACAAATCTACACAACATGGGCAGCGCTCACAGCATCTGCGGCATTCAGTCACGTCAATGGTAAAACAAGTGTCTAACTTCAGCCCAGTTAACACAAATGACAACAACTGCTGTTTTATTGGACTGGGGACGTTAAGTAAATAAAATGAAAAGCACATACTAAAACAGAAAATATTTGGCACAGCAAAAACCGAAGCTTGTAAAAAGGCAGTACTGGTTCTAAGTGTGGCATACAGCCTCCGTAACAAGGAAACAATTCAAGTACATTCACATCAGTCTCGTCCTGCTTCATCACTGTTAGAAAACACACCTTGAACACCACAATAACCTCCAAGACATATGAACATCCCAGTATACTCAGTCCAGCTAACAAACAGTCTTACGGGAGCAATTCAAGAGTATGATGAAGAAATAAAACAGTAATTCCATAAGCTTTGAGACATATCACACTTGCCCCGTAAACATGCTAAAACATATTTGTGGACATTCTTTGTGAAAATGTAGATATTTGGTAGAAATAAAATAACACAAAACAAGTCATTGCTAATCCAAGTAATGGAGCAACATCAACTTGAACACATTTTGGACGGGGCACAAACTCACCGATGTTTACCAACCACAGACATTCTTTTCATTTCCACAAAAGAACCAGACAATGAAAGCCATTATTTTTTTTATCCCTGAAAAGGTGATTTTCTTGGACGGACAATTTGTCAACCTTTACTTCAACATGATTACATTTACAAAAAAACAAACTTTTGAAATTCTCCCCTGATCAAGCTAATATGAGCTCCCTTTAACAAAGTTAAAACGGATTTTCCATTGTTTACACAAAGATATCACAAAGATGAGTGACAGATGTTGCCTCAATAACATGACAAAAACTGAGAAAATGATAAAAGGGAATAAAAAAAGTACAGAAATTACCAATGAGGTATAAGGACTATCAGGATGTTATTGCTTTCTCCATTGCATACCGATGACTGACAAAGTTTAAGTTGATTATCAGCATGGAAGCTGATTGCTTCTTGGGCTAGAGAGTAGGAAACAGAGTCACTACCAAGCATACATAGCTCAATCTCTGAAGATCATATAAGAATACACATGGAAGATAGTCGCCTAGGCCACAGAATCTAAATCGAATAATGAATCCATGTCTACAATGATTTGTCAAGTCTAGTGCCAGTCTCTAAAATTAAACATTGCTTGGTTTGTAATTAGATTGTAGTTTCTATTGCATACATTTGAAATAAGAACTATATTTCTGGGACTCTGTTACAGAGCCTAATGGAGGCACAAAGCCACAGTCCTAGAAGCTTTCCCTGTTGAAGTGAGTGAGTTTAGTTTTACGCCGCACTCGGCAATATTCCAGCCATATGGTGGCGGTCTGTAAATAATCGAGTCTGGACCAGACAATCCAGTGATCAACAGCATGAGCATCGATCCACTCAATTTGGAACCGATGTTTCCCTGTTAAAGCTAGGGTGTGGGAATGAATACATCTCTGACCAACTTGCAAACTTAAAAGTCATCATTCCAAATGAAAAACTTATTTATTGTTTCTTAAGGTCCTTCTCTCTCATAACCAACTCTACAATTGAGGTTCTTTAGAAAATAGCGGGATCTTTCTCCCAGACCTTAGAGAATAAATTAGAAAAAGGAACCCCAATAAGTCTAGAATGACTGGTCAAGTCAAGAATTTCTCAGCTCGAGCATGAAATAAGAAATTCTTCTAGGATCCTTCTGTATTTGTAATCATTTTTTTTTATAAAATACATAGTTTCAAATATGGTAGCTTTATTTCTGGGAATCAAATGTCAGATCACATTATCACCGTATCACTGGAAACCATGTTTAAAGCAATCAGACCTTTCATGAAGGATTTCTTTACCAAAGCAGAAAGGCTTGGGAAAACTGTTTGGACATGCAAAAGATTGTCAATTGACTGCTTTGACTGCTGACCAACCAATGGTCACAAATGAGCACAAACAATCAAATTTAGCACAATCTCACTGCATCCCTCATGTACAGCGAATTAATGTACTGTTTTTCCTCCATAATAGTTATAGCATGAAGAAACAATGAGAATAGACCTTGAGGTGCCATGAAATGCCATGCAATCAACTCAGTTCTAACCACCCAATACACACAGTAGCCTTAAATCTGACCACCCAATCCACAATCTGCTCAAGCCTTAGTGCCCAATCCACTTTGTCTCATGTTGTGACCTTGTTTCTAGAGCCCTATTCTAACACAGAATCCCCAAAGGACGATTACATATAACATATACTGCGGTGAACACAACCCCCCTGTTCCCTGGCTGAACACTTAAGGCACTATATTACCACAGGTTAGTTGATTATTGCAAGATATCACTAGGTGGTACCGTTGTCAACATTCAATAATACTGTACAGACATGAATATAAAACTGCTATATCCACACAACAACAATAAATCAACAGTGTTAGTCACATGTCCTTATAAATAGATATCTATGTGTCATAAATAGCACTGCAATTTGTGCAAACAAATCATAAATAGTTCTCACAATGTGTACGTAAATGGATTTCTAATACATCATGTCAATATTGTGTCTTCAATACAGAATCCTTTTGCTGAACTGATAAAAGATGCTTGGATAAATGCAAAATGTTTTGATTTTGTAAAGAAAACAAAAGAAAATATATAAATGTATAAAAAACATTATTTGATTACTTTCTTATAAATATCTCTATACCTTCCAAATCTTGGTCTCAAACTAAAATTCCCTGAAAGTGGGATACCTAGGTGTCAATACTAAGGCATTCCTTATTTATAAAATGCCTCCAAAATTTAACACTTCTTGTTTGTACACTATTTCCCTTGGAACAAACAGTATATATTTGATTGTTGTACTTAAAGCCGAAATATTTAACAATATTCCAACAACATTTCAGCCTCCTGGACATAATAAAGTCATGAGGAGACGACCCAGTGGGTGACATCATGAGCATCAATCTACACACTGAGATGCAATGGCATGCGTAGAACCAAATCACCAAGCCTAATCACCTAGTCAAGTCAGTTGCCGTTTACGACCGGCATTGATTGCAGGGACCTACTTTACTACCCAGAATGCATGCTGCTCTATAAATGCATGTGGCTAAAAGGGCACACGTACCGAGAGGCACAATACTATGATGGCAGTCACACAGTAACGGCTACACTTACTCAAACTGGTCCAGTCATTAACAATTTCACCAAGGTCCTGTTCCAAAGTGACCTCAACAGTCTGCCTTTTGTAAACTATGCAGTTTGAAAATTACGATCAGAGATTGACTTAAGGAACAGGCCCTTGATCAACTGTCAAATCGTGGCGATCCAGTTTAGAGTACTACGTGTAAATTCAGACACTTGCAAACATACACGTGTTTCTATTCAGAGTACTCTACAAGTTCACATCACATCCAGCATGGTGCTTAAAGGACGAATGAAGAAACACATCAGATTTCCTCCATTCTTCTGCATTTCGCAATTGTGCATCCGATGGGGCACTGTCTGTTTCAGTTTTCACAATTGCCATCAGTTCACGTTCGCGTTTTCGTTGCCTCTCTTTCCGCTTCCGCAACCGATTCTGTATACGTATTCTTTCCTTCTTCATCAACGCCTGTTCATCATCTCTTTCTTTCAAAACGGCCCGTTCTTTTTTTACACGTTCTCTTTCCCTCCACATGAAATTCATCCATTTTACTGGATTTTCTTGTTTCAGTTTTTCCCTATAAGCAGAGTACGGACCACGGCCAACTGGATAATTACTTGGGCGCACAAATTCCACGTAATTTTCCAAGGTTCTTCCTGCAATAGAAAGGCAACTTCAGAGAATGTATTCCTGCAGACTAGCAAATAACACACCAAGAAAAAGGAAAAAAAATTTGGATAATAAGTCACATAGCAGAAGAAAGGAGTTTGGTTTGAAATTTTGATTTTGGCGTGATTTTAATGTTCATGCTTACTGCAGGAATACTGAAAGTTCGCTGAGGCAAACATTCTCTGAAACTGACTTTCTGATGAGGGAGAAGAGAGTGACAAGACCCTGCGGTGATCCTTGCTTCTGCTGTGTAAAACATCCCGTTAAAACAACAGAAACTGTACCTAGATCGTGGACACAAATCAAACACAATAACGCCTCAACAAGATCCTGAGGACACATACCATGTGTTGTGAGACTCACAGCAGATGCATACCACCAGACATATTTGGTTCACCATCAGGGCAAGCTTCTAATTAGTTCACAGCTCATTTCGACAATCAAGTTACGTGATACAACGGCATATGAGAGGGTGGTACTTCCATACTTGTCTCATAGTAAGAAGCCAGAGGCTGTGTCTGGCTCAACACACATGAAGTTGGTAAGCAGGGTGTCACGATATACTTGCTCATGTATCGATACAAACCACTATACCAGTGACAATACCATCTATACTAGGCACCCAATATAAATCATTTTTGCATGAGTGAGTGAATTAGTAGTTTAATGCCGCTTTTAGCAATATTCCAGCAATATCACAGCGATGGAAACCAGAAATGGGCTTCACACACTGTACACGTGGGGAATTGAACCTGGGTCTTCGGCGTGACGAGTGAACGCTTTAACCAGGCAACCCCAAAACCCCATTTTCGCATGAACATCTCTACTTCATGTGACATGACAATCAAGACTGTTGCAATAAAACATTCTGTGCCAAACTTGCCCGACTGGTAAGTATAGCTTTGTCATGATACCTTAGGCAACAGTCGTTACTGTATTGTTTGTGACAGGTAGCAGTGCTATCCCTTGTTGTCTGGCTTGGTTTCTTACAAAACATATTTAATATCACTTTTTGAAAATCAATACAGAACTAACACATAAATTCATACTCAGCCTATTATGTATGTTATCATCAAGTAAATGTCCCATTGATCAGTCATGATCTCACTGAATTGGAAGTCAATAAGATTTTGCAGCATTCATGTATATCGTGCCTGTGTTGTCAGTACAATTTCTCTGGGACACAATTGTATGGTTTCCACTTTCTTACGGATGTGAAACAGCAGTGAGATGACTCCGAGAGTCACTGACAGCTCAAGAGGTCACACTGAGGACGCTTTAAGGCAAACAAGATACATCGAAGGCACTGTGTATTCATACATTGATGTTAGTTGCTAGCATCACATATTAGACCTTGAGTACTGACTGCAGTGAGCACAAGTGTAAAACCTCTTGTTTTCAGTAATATAATCATAAAACCACCTCTGGGTTGCAGTAATATAATCATAAAACCACCTCCGGGTTTCAGTAATATAATAATAAAACCACCTCCGGGTTGCAGTAATATAATCATAAAACCACCTCTGGGTTTCAGTAATATAATAATAAAACCACCTCCGGGTTGCAGTAATATAATCATAAAACCACCTCTGGGTTTCAGTAATATAATCATAAAACCACCTCTGGGTTTCAGTAATATAATCATAAAACCACCTCTGGGTTTCAGTAATATAACCATAAAACCACCTCTGGGTTTCAGTAATATAACCATAAAACCACCTCTGGGTTTCAGTAATATAATCATAAAACCACCTCCGGGTTTCAGTAATATAATCATAAAACCACCTCTGGGTTGCAGTAATATAATCATAAAACCACCTCTGGGTTGCAGTAATATAATCATAAAACCACCTCTGGGTTGCAGTAATATAACCATAAAACCACCTCTGGGTTTCAGTAATATAATCATAAAACCACCTCCGGGTTTCAGTAATATAATCATAAAACCACCTCTGGGTTGCAGTAATATAATCATAAAACAACCTCCGGGTTTCAGTAATATAATGATAAAACCACCTCTGGGTTGCCTTCAGGTTGCAATACCACAATCTTACAACCCCATATACATGCAATAGGTTGCAATAGCACATTTGAACAGCAACCAATGGATGGCAGCAGGGCACTCGTACAACCACAAACTTAAGATGGGAGCAGGGCAATCGTACAAACACAAACTTAAGATGGCAGTACAATTGTACACCAACCAAATACAGGTGACAGAAGGACAATCGTACAACCACCTTCAGATGCTGGTAGTAACACAGTGATACAACCACCTCCAGGTGTCAGTAAGACTATAATACAACCATGTAGAGGTGGTAGTAACACAGTGATACAACCACCTCCAGGTGCCAGTAAGACTATAATACAACCATGTAGAGGTGGTAGTAAACAGTGATACAACCACCTCCAGGTGTCAGTAAGACTATAATACAACCATGTAGAGGTGGTAGTAACACAGTGATACAACCACCTCCAGGTGTCAGTAAGACTATAATACAACCATGTAGAGGTGGTAGTAACACAGTGATACAACCACCTCCAGGTGTCAGTAAGACTATAATACAACCATGTAGAGGTGGTAGTAACATGTAGAGGTGATACAACCACCTCCAGGTGTCAGTAAGACTATAATACAACCAGTGCAACCAGTAGAGGTGGTAGTAACACAGTGGTACAACCAACACAGTGATACAACCACCTCCAGGTGTAACACAGTGATACAACCAGTAAGACTATAATACACACCATGTAGAGGTGGTAGTAACACAGTGATACAACCACCTCCAGGTGCCAGTAAGACTATAATGTAGAGGTGGTAACCATGTAGAACCACCTCCAGGTGGTAGTAACACAGTGATACAATACAACCACCTCCAGGTGTCAGTAAGACTATAATACAACCATGTAGAGGTGGTAGTAACACAGTATAATATACATGTAGAGGTGGTAGTAACAGTGATACAACCACCTCCAGGTGTCAGTAAGACTATAATACAACCATGTAGGAGGTGGTAGTAACAGTGATACAACCACCTCCAGGTGTCCAGTAAGACTATAATACAACCATGTAGAGGTGGTAGTAACACAGTGATACAACCACCTCCAGGTGCCAGTAAGACTATAATACAACCATGTAGAGGTGGTAGTAACACCACCTCCAGTGATACAAATACACCTCCAGGTGTAACACAGTGATACAACCAGTAAGACTATAATACAACCATGTAGAGGTGGTAGTAACACAGTGATACAACCACCTCCAGGTGCCAGTAAGATAATACAACCATGTAGAGGTGGTAGTAACTATAATAGGTGTCAATAATAGCAAACCATGTAGAGGTGGTAGTAACACAGTGATACAACCACCTCCAGGTGCCAGTAAGACTATAATACAACCATGTAGAGGTGGTAGTAACACAGTGATACAACCACCTCCAGGTGTCAGTAAGACTATAATACAACCATGTAGAGGTGGTAGTAACACAGTGATACAACCACCTCCAGGTGTCAGTAGGTAATACAGTAACACAGTGACTATAATACAACCATGTAGAGGTGGTAGTAACACAGTGATACAACCACCTCCAGGTGCCAGTAAGACTATAATACAACCATGTAGAGGTGGTAGTAACACAGTGATACAACCACCTCCATGTGTGGTAGTAAACACCAGTAAGACTATAATACAACCATGTAGAGGTGGTAGTAACACAGTGATACAACCACCTCCAGGTGTCAGTAAGACTATAATACAACCATGTAGAGGTGGTAGTAACACAGTGATACAACCACCTCCAGGTGTCAGTAAGACTATAATACAACCATGTAGAGGTGGTAGTAACACAGGTGATACAACCACCTCCAGGTGCCAGTAAGACTATAATACAACCATGTAGAGGTGGTAGTAACACAGTGATACAACCACCTCCAGGTGCCAGTAAGACTATAATACAACCATGTAGAGGTGGTAGTAACACAGTGATACAACCACCTCCAGGTGCCAGTAAGACTATAATACAACCATGTAGAGGTGGTAGTAACACAGTGATACAACCACCTCCAGGTGCCAGTAAGACTATAATACAACCATGTAGAGGTGGTAGTAACACAGTGATACAACCACCTCCAGGTGCCAGTAAGACTATAATACAACCATGTAGAGGTGGTAGTAACACAGTGATACAACCACCTCCAGGTGTCCAGTAAGACTATATATACAACCACCATGTAGAGGTGGTAGTAACACAGTGATACAACCACCTCCAGGTGTCAGTAAGACTATAATACAACCATGTAGAGGTGGTAGTAACAGTGATACAACCACCTCCAGGTGCCAGTAAGACTATAATACAACCATGTAGAGGTGGTAGTAACAGTGATACAACCACCTCCAGGTGTCAGTAAGACTATAATACAACCATGTAGAGGTGGTAGTAACACAGTGATACAACCACCTCCAGGTGTCAGTAAGACTATAATACAACCATGTAGAGTAAGACTGGTAGTAACACAACCACCTCCAGTGATATAATACAACCAAGAGGTGGTAGTAACAGTGATACAACACCTCCAGGTGTCAGTAAGACTATAATACAACCATGTAGAGGTGGTAGTAACACAGTGATACAACCACCTCCAGGTGCCAGTAAGACTATAATACAACCATGTAGAGGTGGTAGTAACACAGTGATACAACCACCTCCAGGTGTCAGTAAGACTATAATACAACCATGTAGAGGTGGTAGTAACACAGTGATACAACCACCTCCAGGTGTCAGTAAATACACTATAATGGTACCACAGTGTAGAACCACCTCCAGGTGGTAGACTAAATACAACCATGTAGATAGTAACCACCTCCAGGTGTCAGTAAGACTATAATACAACCATGTAGAGGTGGTAGTAACACAGTGATACAACCACCTCCAGGTGTCAGTAAGACTATAATACAACCATGTAGAGTGGTAGTAGTAACAACCACCTCCAGGTGATACAACCACCTCCAGGTGGTAGTAAGATACTATAATACTATAATACAACCATGTAGAGGTGGTAGTAACACAGTGATACAACCACCTCCAGGTGTCAGTAAGACTATAATACAACCATGTAGAGGTGGTAGTAACACAGTGATACAACCACCTCCAGGTGCCAGTAAGACTATAATACAACCATGTACTATAATACAACCATGTAGAGGTGGTAGTAACACAGTGATACAACCACCTCCAGGTGCACAGTAAGACTATAATACAACCATGTAGAGGTGGTAGTAACACAGTGATACAACCACCTCCAGGTGTCAGTAAGACTATAATACAACCATGTAGAGGTGGTAGTAACAGTGATACAACCACCTCCAGGTGTCAGTAAGACTATAATACAACCATGTAGAGGTGGTAGTAACAGTGATACAACCACCTCCAGGTGCCAGTAAGACTATAAATACAACCATGTAGAGGTGGTGATACAACCACCTCCAGGTAACACAGTGATACAACCACCTCCAGGTGCCAGTAAGACTATAATACAAATAAGACCATGTAGAGGTGGTAGTAACACAGTGATACAACCACCTCCAGGTGCCAGTAAGACTATAATACAACCATGTAGAGGTGGTAGTAACACAGTGATACAACCACCTCCAGGTGCCAGTAAGACTATAATACAACCATGTAGAGGTGGTAGTAACACAGTGATACAACCACCTCCAGGTGCCAGTAAGACTATAATACAACCATGTAGAGGTGGTAGTAACAGTGATACAACCACCTCCAGGTGTCAGTAAGACTATAATACAACCATGTAGAGGTGGTAGTAAAACAGTGATACAACCACCTCCAGGTGTCAGTAAGACTATAATACAACCATGTAGAGGTGGTAGTAACACAGTGATACAACCACCTCCAGGTGTCAGTAAGACTATAATACAACCATGTAGAGGTGGCAGTAACACAGTGATACAACCACCTCCAGGTGTCAGTAAGACTATAATACAACCATGTAGAGGTGGTAGTAAAACAGTGATACAACCACCTCCAGGTGTCAGTAAGACTATAATACAACCATGTAGAGGTGGTAGTAACACAGTGATACAACCACCTCCAGGTGCCAGTAAGACTATAATACAACCATGTAGAGGTGGTAGTAACACAGTGATACAACCACCTCCAGGTGTCAGTAAGACTATAATACAACCATGTAGAGGTGGTAGTAACACAGTGATACAACCACCTCCAGGTGCCAGTAAGACTATAATACAACCATGTAGAGGTGGTAGTAACACAGTGATACAACCACCTCCAGGTGCCAGTAAGACTATAATACAACCATGTAGAGGTGGTAGTAACACAGTGATACAACCATGTAGAGGTGGTAGTAACAGAGTGATACAACCACCTCCAGGTGCCAGTAAGACTATAATACAACCATGTAGAGGTGGTAGTAACACAGTGATACAACCATGTAGAGGTGGTAGTAAGACTATAATACAACCATGTAGAGGTGGTAGTAACACAGTGATACAACCACCTCCAGGTGCCAGTAAGACTATAATACAACCATGTAGAGGTGGTAGTAACAGTGATACAACCACCTCCAGGTGTCAGTAAGACTATAATACAACCATGTAGAGGTGGTAGTAACACAGTGATACAACCACCTCCAGGTGCTAGTAAAACAAGTGTACAACCACCTAAAGAGATTAGTAGTGGTGGTAAGATGCCTTTACATCCACCCATAGACGGCAGTAAAACAATCGTACAACCACCTACAGATGAGGCAGTTTCCTCTCTCCTATGCATTCAATACAACCATCAGTATAAGTTTGAGAGGTAAAGATGATCCTACCTCGGCCGGAGTTTCCTGGTTGTGTCCGGCGCCCTCCAAAGACGGCCCCGGGACTGAGCTGGCCACTGGTGGAAGCGATGGGGGAGGAGCTTGCGGACATTGTGTGGGTGGGTTCACTGAAGTTCTGTGGAAAGACGGGGGATCCATAGCCTGGCATGGGCAGCCCCGCGGTGTTCTGGTGGATCATGACAGGATAGAGGGATGAGGAGGCTGCTGCAGCCAGGTTTTCGGCCACAATCTGATCTTCCGAGGCTTCGTGTCCCTCTGCCTGAGGATCATCTGTAATTGGGACAGATACAATCATGAGTGAGTGAGTTTAGTTTTACTCCGTTTTACGAATATTCCAGCAATATTGTGAAGGGAACACCAGAAATGGGCTTCACACACCGTACCAATATGGGGAATCAAACCCACGTTTTTGGCGTGACAGGCCAATGTTTTAACCACTAGGCTACCCACCGCCCCGATACAATCATGAACAATTCGTAAATTAAGAACCATCATCCCTCCTTGTTCAATATTTCAGATGCTGTTCAAACTGTTTATCAGTCAAATGAGGACCAAAGGAAAGGGGAATGCATTTCACTATAGTCATCATTACATCACCTATGTTCATTTTTGTTAAAAAATACCAAACTTGGGAGAACACGATTTTCAGTTTGTATTACTCTTCAACTAAGTTCAAGACGCTCAGTCAAACCAAAGATGATATATTTTATATATAATTCAGGCGAATACCAAGCTTTTTTTCTAAGAGGCACAATGCTCCCCAGGGAGTTGAGATTGACAATACGATGTGCCGTTGAGATTGACATCCAGTGAACGAGGGAAAAAAACAAAGCGCCATTGAGGAGCTGAGCTGGATATCGGCGCTATACAAATGTTAGTATGTATGTATGTATGTATGTATGTTGGACTTACAAGTCTCTTGGTCTGTGTCACGTGTGGTTCGGTTCCAGTCAAGCTGATCAAACAGGCTCTCATCTTCAATCACTTCCTCTTTCACTCGGCTAAGATCAATACTGTCGGCAAATGACTGCCCCTCAGACTTCTCCGGGGGATCTTTTGTAGAGTCTATGTGTTTGGACGAATCATCTGAAAACTGTCTCTGAGATGCACCTTGGCCATTGCGACCAAAACGAGTCTCGTTTGAAGCAGATAATCGAGCATGGATTTCACCGTCAATGTCTATCTGAGCTGGGGTAGCTAAGCCCTGCTTTTCAAGTTCATTACTTATCCTCCGAGCGAGCTTGGAGGCAGAAGCACCAAGAGTATATTGCGAACGTAACGAAGTATTGTCATGGTGGTCGCGCCTCTCCCCGTCTCGGATTCGACTAGATGGGGAGACATCAGGAGAGGGCTTTGAGGAAAGGTCATGCAAATGTCGTTTCCGTCTCGAAACAGATCGTTCTGGATTTTGACAGTGGAGGGAAGGGGATGCACCTGGCTCACGATTTGGAACATTTCCTGATACTGAACCTGTTTCCGATCCTGCAGAAAGTGATTGTGAGCTTTCGCGGGATGCGGAACGACCTTGACCTACATCGGTCTGGAATGTGGAAAGGTCGATACCTATATTGTCTTTGGCAGACTGGATTTTGAGGTCAAGTGCATTGCACTGCCTAGCAGTCTTCACAGTGGTCCGTGGAGGCTGGGCATGGAAGCTATTGCTGACAAACATCGCTTGGGACTCGTCGTCATTCTTGCACACTTGTTCATTAACAACATAGTCATATTTCTGTTGGCTGTCAATATTGAGATAGATGTGTCCGATAATCTCAATGTTCTTCTCAAACTCCACATATCCATGACACAAGGACTGTAGAGATTTCACAAGGGATGCGATGAACCGAGTGGTTGTGTCGTCGTTCATTGTTCTCACATCGTCTGGTCACTCTGTGCTCTTTTCGGTGTCAAAGGTCACACTGAAATTGACAGAACCAATACTTTTTGTTAAAATTCTGAAATGTACAAATATCTTTCTCCCTGCTCCCCAAATGCTGCAGCTGACATCTTAAACACAAAGTTAGTTGGTTGTTGTTTAATGCCGCACTCAGCAGTATTTCAGCTATATGTCGACGGTCTGTAATCTATGTAAATAATCTGGACCAGACAATCCAATGACCAACAGCATGAGCATCAATCTACGCAATTGGGAACCGATGACATGTCAACCAAGGCAGCAAACCTAACCACCCGGTCCCGTTAGTCGCCTCTTACAACAAGCATTGGTTGCTGAAGACCAATTTCAACCCAGATCTTCTTTCTTGCTCCTGGGTGATGCAAGATTCCTGGATGACACACTGATGCTATGTTAAATCAACCAAGCATGGGTTGCAGGACCAACTCAACCTGGATCTTCACAGGTCCTCTCTCGCTCCTGGATTGTGATGCAAGGTTCTATGCACATGGTTGACACACTGATGCTATGTTAAATCAACACTTCATTTTCAATAGGGCTGGCTATTGATATACATCACAGAGCCTCATAATTGTTAACCAAATGATCAATAGATTAGCGATAAATATTGGAGAAACTTATAATAGAGTCCAAAATAAATCAACATATTTCAAATCACTAGTGAGTGGCGACACATGTATGCAAAGATTACAAACAAGAACAGCATCCTAAAAATCACTAAGAACCATGAAAAAAACATGTCAGAAGGATACTGATAATTTTGAATAGTACATGATATGCAGGACTGAAGGGCAATTTGCACCTGAACCTCAATTTAAAAAACTTAACTCTAATCTAGCACGGCAATGACTTCACTTTTCGAGCCTGTAGATTTGGAGCACTGATATTTTCTTATTAATATTTTCGTATATGATTAATTATCTTAATGAGGCCATCAAAATTAACTGAATGAACCTGTAAACAAACTAACTAGATAAATTACCTCCCTTATAATTATGAATTTGATTGGCAGTACTATCCAGAAAACTTTATTTATCAACAATACTTATCACTATAATGGAGTATTCCTCTAAGTCAAGATTTCCTTAACAGGTTAATTAATATTTCATCTTATTTTGAACATTATTTGGGAACACTATGTCAGTGTAACATAATGGAATCTTTGGATCTTTTCAAGCACGGAGGTTGATGTCCTTAAATACACAGAGAAGCTTGTGTCTACATTCTATTCTTGGTTCACTTGCTTCGCGCCTTCATTCAATATACGAAGGGAGACAACTGGTCCGAAAGTCAATAATTGTCCAGGCATGAACGATTTGACAAAATTGGCGCTGATATCATAAACTTTGAAGACGATCTTTTAAATGTAAAGTATGTTTTAGTAACAAGACCACTGCAGTGAGATAAATATGGTTATGGCTAGTTAGGAAAACAAAGTGGATCAACAAACGGCCACTTGCAAACATCGTTCGGGTCAGCAGATCGAAAGCTTGCAAAATTAACAAAAACGCACGTGAAAAAGACATATTACCCATACAGACTAACCCATACACATGTAAATAATCTGCAAAACATGATCTTACATGAGCAATATTATGCCTTGGTGGTTTTAAACGTGAAAATACTCCGCATTCCCCCATTTTCCTCAAATTCTTTTCAGCAGTCCTCCACACAAAAGAGTAACGGAACGGGGAATAATATGCCGGTTTTCATACTACTAGACGACAACTAGCTAAAGCCAATACTTGGTTTAGCGGTACTCTTTCGATGGGATGAATGACAAAGAAAGAGTTATATATATAGTGTATAAATCATGACACTGATTGGGTATCTGACGTTATCACACATTATGACAGCATGTTGACACGTTAAAACAATGTTATGTTTGGTATGTCCCTTTTGTCGTCTGTTGAATGTATAACCAGGGAGACAATATAACGTTGTATGTTGTAGATTATCCCTGGTATAACAGATTATATGTACAGTTATACCTGTTTCATGAATGTCTATTTATTGTTGGTTATAAACCGAATTTCATTATATTACGTTTGGGTTCTAAACTACGTCATTAATATATATAAGATAATTATACACTGAGTGTGCCAGGCGCATTATATGTTTACCTTTACAGTCCCTCCTAATAAATCCTCCGCACAGTTGTTTTAAGTCATTTAACAGTTTTATGGATATTTATATATTAATAGTCACGAGTTGCAGGTACCAATACCCAATTGAGTTTGAGTGCGGTGGGAACAATAGATTTGGTTACTTAAAAGAAAATTAGGGTACCCAATTGAGATGAACACAAGTGAGTACATAACTCAATGACCCAAAACGTTATCTGTAGCTCTTTCCAGATTGGATCATTAAACTCGTTTCTTAATTCAAATCTGCACTTCACATTCGCACTTTCACAAGCAATACGTCTGTCGTGTTTGGAATCACCAACGTTTCATCACCCAGGACTTATATTAGTTCACGAGTGTGCAAACATTTACATGATTTATAATTAATATTCATGTGTAAATATAAACTATGTGTACATTTAAAACATAACTTGTGTGTAAATATAGAGGTTAGATTTAACAAGTGCAAATAACAACAATAATAAGTACTGTTATTGTATTTATTTCATTCGTATGTCGGACGTAAATCAAGGTGTTACCTCCCCTTGCAGTTAATTTGTTTTAGAATCTGCCTGGTTATTATTTCATCTGAAGGATGGTGTGACCTATTTTATAGTTTTAGGTATGTAGTATGACATTGTATTTAGGTTGGTTTGTTGTTTACGCCACACAATAGTCCAGCTATATGACGGCGGTGTGAAAATAATCGAGTCCGGACCAGACAATCCAGTGATCAACAGAATGAAAATCGATCTAGGATACGGTCCAGATATGATGTTATAATCTTACGTATATAATATGACATTTGACATTGTATGTATTGAAATATATATTATTTCAGGATTGCTCTTACACAGGGAATAAACGTTCTCCCCGTAACCAGGGTTCATTAATTTGTATGTCCACACATTATCCTGGTCACATTGAACACTATACAAAGCATTTCGCGGAGAACTCCACTCGCCAGTCCTTGTCAAGTTGCCATTTCACTGGCTGGTGTTGCGTCCCTTAACCATGTGCGGATCCAGTGAACGCGGGTTCGAATCCATTTCGACTGCGGGTTTCTAGCACCAAAATCGTGTACGTGGATTTCAAATTATCGGCATTTCCTTTAACAGAAGACTGACATGTGATATTACCGAATTAGAACGGTGGGGTAGCCTAGTGGTTAAAGCGTCCGCCCCTCACACTGAAGTCCCAGGTTCAATTCCCATGCACATGGATACAATATTGTGAAGCCCATTTCTCTTGTTCCCCGCCGTGATATTGCTGGAATATTGCTGAAAGCGGCGTAAAACCATACTCACTCATTATAACTTTAGTTTTTCCCATTCACCCAGCCCTACCAGTCAAGTGTGATAATCCCCTAAAACAACAGGTGTTGGGTCAAACTGGATACCCATGAACTGGAGATAAGACCAAATATTTTGATGCATGGAGTTTTAGAATATACATGTCATAAATATTTTGATACATGGAGTATTGATATCTTAAAAGGGTTTACATTATGTACATATACAGAGACAAAACCACATATTTTGATGGGTATAATTTCACAGGTAACAGGTAACTTATCACCCCTACTCCGTGGCTGGCCAAGCTAACCCTAATCCGTTATAGATATGATTAATTAACAGGGCTAGGTGAGCGGGAATAACCCGATCAAGGGAGCGCGCCTCATTAATGGGTAACATTGCTAGCTATGGATACACCAACTGGGTATATTTTTGTTTGCATTTCATTTTGAAATATTATTTATGAAATCATCAAGTACTGAGCAGATACTGAATAAAACGTGTGCAGTAACGTGGAATGAATAACACACATTGGTTGAAAGATTGCGTTGGTTGAAAATGTTCCCAGCACAACTTTTATACTTTTCGAGGCCCTGCTTCAAATACTAATACATGGCTTGTATATGCAACAATATATGTACATGTGAGTTGAGTCCTATATATTAGAATTTGTTAATACATGTCGGATCGCACTGAATTGCAAGCGGTATTTGACTATGATAAGTCTGCAAGATAATAGTTTACAAGGCAGATGCAAGAGTTATGCCCCTTGTAATTTTTATTTCCTTTAATTGAAAATTTAAGAATGTTAGAAGGGGCACATGGATTTTTGTGGAACCGAGTTCGTGTTTCGACGCACATGCTTGCGTTTATCTGGATGTAGGTCTTTGGGGAAATTTGTGAAAGTCACGATAGCAAAGTTTTCTCAGGGCCCAGAAAACGAACACGAGTCGGGGGGGGAATATGTCAAGAGTGAGGAAGCACGCGGAAAACAATAGACGCAAAACGTCCATTGTCGTCTGCTAACTTGAGGGTATTTAAAATAATTATTGTGAGATAAGCTTATGGAAGGTTAATGAATAATGAAGTGTGAAGTGTCACGTTTAGAATGCGGAAAGACTTCCGTCCGTATCCCACCTTAAATTTCATTCTAGTCAAATCATACCTGAATATAATATTTTAACATGTTTCTTTAATATTGTATCTGAACATACTGAAAGACGTATCTGAATTATAAAAATGTCACTGAAAGAAATAATTCCTCATCGTTATAATTTAGGGCTGATATGGGCAGAAGCCTTACCAAGTATAGTTCAAGTTTTAGCATGATGCAAAAGTCAGACTTTAAAGTGGGTTTCTTCTCGTTTACTCCAATGGTTTGAAATTAGCACAGTGCAGTCAAGTTAATGTCTCCTGTCAGACCAGAATGCAGTCAAGAGATACAGATAATGTTAATATTTTCAGACAAGGATTTATTGACACTCTAGAAATTAGCACCAGGCATATTAATAAGATGATGTGTCTGTAAGTAATTGAGACTGAAGACCAGAATTTGATCTAAGTGATATGATGACTATCATGACACGTCATCAAACAACTCACCATGTATAACCACCCAATCCATTGTAATTTGAAGTTCTAACAAGCACAGCGTAGCTTGCTGGGTACCTATGTTTTTACCCAGAATGCCTGTGGTTAGAAGAATAAGAGTGACTTGGGTTTATGTCAGTTATATCAGTGCCTGTCGTCTTGATGCCTGAAGTGATTCAGTACTGAGGAGTTTACCACTTGGTGAATGCATGAGTTGGTATTTTAAATGCCAATTTTAACCATATTCAACTTATGTCAAGGTATGTCAGCTTGACAGAGAGGAAAGCCTGAAGTGATGCAGGTCCGAGACGTGGACCAATTTGCTGAAATCCACAAGCACAGGCATGGTGCTTATGGAGTCCCACAGATGACATCCTTACCTTGTCAGCATGGTTAACCTATTTGGTCATATGGACAAGGCGTCCTACTTCTGATCAGAATGTTTGTGGTTTGAATCCCAGCACGGGACTCCGGAAATTTTAGGGCCGCTACACTTACAAACCTAGAAACATGATCCGGGCAAAGAGGGATTCAAACCCAGTCAGGTATCCCGCTAGCCGAAGGGACACAACTCTGCACAGCGTATTGTGCTGCCCCAGACAAATGAGTCATCTCTTGAAGAAAGGAAGTACAGTGAATGACAGAATTTTATTGTTCAGAGTTATGTAGGAAAATCATGATACATGAAAATATCTTCTCATGGTTACACTAATTTTATATAATATTGTCATTGTGAACATATTGTACATGTTTAACATGTAGCTGAATGTCCATGTAACCACCTGGTTTATAAAATACAGAGAAAAATATTCTGCTAAAGGTCCATCAAATTAATTACCACACATACTATGGTTATATGTGTAGGATATAACATGACCCTCGGGCATTATTGAAAAGTAAGCCCACTTCCCGCGGGAAATGCTTAAGGGCCGTAGGCCCCGCATGCATTTCCCAAGGGAAGAAGGCTTACTTTTCAATAATGACCACGGTCATGTTATATCCAACTTATAAACCGACCGAAGATATACTTTAGATATAATTTTTATATTCGGTATTTACTGTTGAAATCAATTGGGATGAGACTGGCAGACGACGCCTCGCAATGCACGTGCTCCACACGCGCACTTCCCATCTTGGGAGGAACACACGGTTCATACTGACAAACAATCACATTCTTCACAGTGATCCTTCGTAGCGTAGTGGATAAAACCGCCAAGCTAGTAAGCGAAGGGTTGCGGGTTCGAAACTGGGTGCCGGCACTTCATGTTGGAAATTGTCGGTAATGTCATATTTTAAGATTGCATTCAGTGATGGCAAGACAATGTCGTATCAATCTTCAAAACAAGTAATAATTCAAAGTCAAGGGCTATTCCTCAGAAAATCCCGGGGCAGAGGGACGTTATTAAGATAATGCCCGGGGCACAGGGACGTTATTAAGATAATTGCCTGGGACAGAGGGACATTATTTAGATAATGGCCAGAGGAAGCGAGATTGTATCAGATTTGAGGGATATTACAAGGAAAGGTGTCCCCTAAGAACAAGGTCACTGTTGGTTTATAAGTTGACTGTAACGTCACCTAGATGAACACTACCAAGCAAACAGTGGATCATTTCTCCATGAACCTCAGTATGTCACATGATTTTATTTGGGGAATTCCTCAATTTCTAAAATTATGCTTTGCTGACATGATGCCCTGCTTTTACCATGTTCTTCAAATGAAGGCTAACATTTGACAGCAATAAAAAACCCAATATTGTTTACTAACTTTCAAAACTATCGAATAGTTTTAAGCCTATCAGATTGCAACACACACCAACATTAAAATATTTTTTTGTCAATGGACAACCCAGCATTAATTACAAGTTTCCTCCACAGATATGTGAAGTAAGAATATATCACCGTCTTGGATGTGAACCATATGTCGGAGTACTTATTAGGCTTCAGGTAGAAAGCACACTCTTTATCCATCGCCAACTTTGGTCTCAACTGCTGATACTGCTTGTAGAAGTTCACAAAGCACCTGTTCGGGGTATGAGGCTTGGCAAAAATCTTCAATGAACACGATGCATTAATTGGCCTTTCAAGATATTCCATGCCCTCGTCATTGACCTTCAGTTGAATATCTCCCCATTTCAAGTTAAAATGTTCAGCTGGGCGCCTGATGCCAAAATATTTTGAATTGAGAAACCACAAGGTATGGATCAAACTTTCAGGACTCTGAATTCCCAACTGGCCAGTTTGGAACATGATCTCTATGTCATCATCATTGACTGGAGAGTGTTTCTGGGCGACAATCTTTCTTCCTACATTCAGCTTCTTTCTGAGGAAGTCACTGGAGGACTGGAACGGTCTGTCCTTGACAATAGAATAGGGATAGCCTCCATGGCGTAAATACATGTGCAGGTGCTTCTGAACATTGTTCAGTGTACATGCAGTTAGATCTCCCCCACCTCTTTTCTTACCCTCTTTGAAGTAGGCCAGAAGGAGTTCATTGAGATCCTCAGGGGCCAAAGAAAACAGGTCCACGTCATCACCAGACTTGTCAAAGTGGAACCTCTGGAACTGCTTCACCGAGTTCCTCACTTTTGCTAATGTTCCAGGACTCAAGCTGAGCTTTCCCTTCTTTTTAGGTACTGATAGTGTGCATGAAACAGTTGTTTCAGAAGACCCTGGTGAGTTCTCTTCCTCCATATCAAGGTCATTCTCAAACACGTCCAGGTCAATGACTTCATCTTCGTCAAATTCCACTGAAGTTGAAGGAGCATTCCTCGATGCAAAGGACATGGACTCCGAGTTTGATGAAGTCCTGAACTGCTGTTTCAGACAGGGTGGAACTATCACCCGTTCTTCAGGTCCTCCCATATCACAGTGTGCTTCTGATGTGTATTGTTCACCAACTGGGGATGGTGAGGCAAAGGTGGTGTCATCTTCATCCTCACTTATATTTTCCTTATCTTTAGCAGTTCTAAAGTCACCTCTTTCTCTTCTCTCTTGGGTTGAACTATTCCAGGAGGCTGATCTGTTCTCTGCAGTTCTGAATGACTTCGTACAGTAGCTCTCACTGACCACATTACCACTGCTCTGTAGCAGTTCACTCAGGACGTATCTCTCCTTCTTCATGTTGTCGATCTCCACACACACATAGCCACTGACCTCCACAAACTGACTGAACTGGAGGTAGTTGCGACACACATCTTGAAGCTGCTCCACAAAGGAGGTCAAAGAACTCCACTGAGTACTGTTTTTCCATGATAGCCTAAGCGTCTTCCTAGGATGAAAGGAAACAATTTAGTCACAATGATGCAGGTTATTCAATATGTGTAAAGAAAATAATATTTAACAACATGTACCTGATAGTGGTGGTCAGATTAATTTAAATAATCAAAGATTGGTCGCAATGACTAAACAACCAAGCAATCGATCATGTTTTCTTATAATCGAACACAAACTATTTCAGAACACTTGTTTGCATTAACAATATATTTCACAAGGTTGGTTTTGTCTGTTGCATTTCATAAGCACTACAAGCTCGTTCCAAGTCATGATTGAAATTATCTTAAAGATTCCAGGAAATTTATGTCCTTAAGATACTAGTCATCCTTTAAAGATGTGAAATTTGCAAATGCATTTTGTGAAATTGCTGGGCAAAAAACCCAGAAAGAACTACATAACTTCTACTTTTGTTTCTTTATTTTTTTGTGCAGTAACAAACATAACCAGGAAAATTTGATAAATGACGCTAACCAATTATTGTCGATGATTGATCGGTTGTAATGAACCCATCATCAATTATGAGATTTTAACCAACTCACAATACTAGCACCTAATAAAACAACTCTCAGAGTGAGAGTGAGTGTGAATTTGACTTTCAACATTACACCTGTGTGACTTCTTTGACAGTAAAAAACCCACCTGAATAAAGTTAACAAATCTGTGTTGAAAAGAGGATTCATTGCAAAATATGAAATAAATTATACTGAAGTGTTAACTGTATGCCAGTTCTGTGGGGAAAGTTGCGACATTCGTGTGCCGCGCAAGAAGTCGAGGGGCATAAATACACTGGTTTGGTTACCTACTATTTCATAGTACCGTATTTCCTCTAATAAGCGCCTGAGCACTTATTTTTTTCAATGGACTTCCAGACCTGACGCTTTTGCACTTACTGGATGTCATTACCATAATTGTTATGGAGCTGCTTTAGACCCAGCACTTATTAGAGGAAATACGTTGATTTATATGTTTTAGCATTTTATATATTTTAAGTCTTTCTTGAGTGTAGTTCTCATTCCCCCCAAATACAATGAGTTTTGATGTTCTTGCTCCAATGTAGAACCATTATCATGAGCATGACATGAAATTATATAACCCTGATAGTTAGAATTAGACAAATTGCCAGGGGAGAATAACACCCGGACACCCTCTGGTAACAATCACCATAGCAACAAAATCCAAACTGAAGTATGCAATCTAATCCTGTTGACACACAATCTGGTTACCGGTATGTACCGGTAAAGTGTTCATTGTATGTCTGGACTTTTGTGAAAATATAATATTTATTTGCCCTTTGAAAATCATGACTAGAACTGTCTTCAGCAACTCATGCTTGTCATGAGAGCTGACTAATGGGATCAGGTGGTCAGGCTCGCAGTCCTCAAATTCCTATTGTGTAGATTGATGCTCATGAAGTTAATCATCATAAATTTTTGTTCCATGTTGTGTATGTACAATGAAGAGTGAGTGAGTTAAGTTTTATGCCGCTTTATAGTAATATTCCAGCAAGATTACAGCGAGGGCCACCAGACATTTTACCCATGTGGGGAATCAAACCCAGGTCTTCGGCGTGACGAGCCAATGCTTTAACCACCGCCCCATACAATGAAGGATGTTGTGTATGTAGAGAGCAGCATGTGTATGTAGCATACAGTCCCTATTTGTAACTCCGCAACACTTTCCATACAACTCTCTCCATCAATATTCCAAATCAAGAAAGACCCAAGACGACGTTACTTCTTGCAATATTTTATATATCAGATAATATTAAACACAGGTACACACAACTAGGGATGTCATAAAAGATTGATAATTATCAATGGCAGGAATTCTTAATGATTATCGATATGAAAATTGTGTCTTCCAATACCTTGCACATACTATTAGAATGAAATAGAATTTAAATGCAAACACAAAATACAAAAAGTTCGATGTCTTATTCATGGGCCACTCTTGGGTTTTTTCAACGATTGTTTTGCATTTTTGCTCAAAAGTACATCTCTGATATTCATAATATATGTATTTAGTTAATCTTTATCAATCTACACTGATAGCAACCCCTACGTACACCTGTAGAGTTACTTATGAAATTATGCTGACAATGATGACAATATTGAACATAACATGGTGATTGAGTAAAAAAGTTGCTGTAAAACCTTCTTACTAGGACACAGATTAATTAAATCTTCTCCATAACATGACCACAACTAAATAAAATCTATTTAACATGGACAATGATCTTTAATAAAAAAAATGATAATGATCAATAACACATCTGTCTTCAAATGATCATCGTGTATTGAAATTAAATGATCTAAAAACATTCCTCAAACCTGTTTACAAGCACATAAAACATTTTGTAAATTGCTTATTACCGGTACGTTCTCCATGGCGTTAATCAAAACATTTCAAGTCAAAATCTTCGTTAGATGGCTGAGTGGGTTAGACAGCTGACTTATGTGCTGGTGATTGGGTGCCTGTTTCTGGGAGTGTGGGTTCTAATCCTGGATGGACTCAACCCAACAAAAGTACTACAAGCTGTACTTTACTGGGAAAGTGTAATCCCCCAAACCAGGTTATAATAAGCATCACTTTGTCAATTTTCTAAGTTCCAAAGACACTCATAATATCAAAATGGGATGCAAGAGATCAATATTCCTCAGTTCCTTCAGACAGTTTATGACATAAATGCCTGTTGCCTTGATGTCAAGACATGGAAAATCACAAGTGGTTATGATATACTTTAGCCACATTAAGGCTTAAATAGTGAGTGAGTTTAGTTTTCCGCAGCAGACCACAATATTCCAGCTATATGGCGGTAAGGCTTAAATAACACCATTGGGACATTAAATTTGAATTGACTCACTCTTATAAATATCATATTTTGACCTATTCATTGCAAAACAAATCATGATAATATTGTATCCTTATCTTTACTCCTCTACCGTAAACTACCTAAAAAGAAGTAAAGTCCACTAAATATTCACATGAGCGTATTTACTCCATGAAAAACAAACTTATATTATCCCAGCTGCACTCAGCTGAAAAGTGATGAGATTTCAGTGACTGCGTGGTCTGTCTAATCCATATCGGATGCCTCATTCCATGTTCTGCATGAAGACAACCAAAGACTGGCAGGTGAACCTGACATCAAATCTACGTGAACAATGAACGAGTCCTTGTGCCAATCAGATATAAGCTACAGTGATTCTGTTTCATTTCTTGTCTTCTAGATCTAAACATGTCAGCTTTTAACAGATGAAAACTCACAAATTACTCAAATATTCCTTTCATGGAATCCCTTTTGGTTGTAGACACCATGGCATTTAGAAATGACTGGGTGTATAAAATATGTGTGGCCATTATTATTGATAATTGGAAGTGGGCATTTCCTTCTGTTTCTATCCTTAAAAAATTCAGATTTACCGCCGTTAATCTATTTCTCTGTTACCGCAGGAATTAAGAAGCCATCAAGCAGATTGGCTGATTAAAAAACCTACGTGGCGCGACCTCCTATTGCAGGGGCGTCAGAACTCCAGTAGAGGGATATTGTTACAGAGCAAAACACATGACCTTGTGTCATTTGTATGATGAAAACAGCGATTGAAATCCACCTTCACCACGTCAAGTCTTACAGCTTTTACAAAAAACATATTTGACTTTTCCTAAAGGAGAATAAAGAGCATACCACTAATAGTATCACCCAATTCAAATGATTCTCTTGTTAGCAGGAAGACGAGCCGTGAGAAGAATTTTCTTCCATACGCAGGTAAGAGTTCCAGGGCGTATGGGTTCGGGCATGAACCAGCAGTTCTGATCGTCACTTTCATCCACCCGAAATAGAAGCTATATTCATCGTCCAAAGCTATCTTAGGCCTCAGTGCTCTGTACTGCTTGTAGAAGTTCACAAAGCATCGGTCAGGTTTGGCTGGTTTGGAGTACACCTTGAGAGTGTATCTCCCACCCACTACACGTTCCAGGTATTCCTGACCATTGTCATCCATCCTGAGATTAATGTCACCCCACTTCAGGTTCTGATGCTCCAGAGGATGTTTGAGGACGAAGTACTTGGAGTTGAGGAACCACATTGTGTTGGTGAGCGACTCAGCATTGTTGGCTCCAAGCACCTGTGTCTGGAACAGTGACTCGATATCACACTCGGAGACTGTATTTGTTCCACCTCCATTAGCTATACTGTCATTCAGTTTCTTCTTCAAATACTCCCTCGATGACTGGAACTGTTGGTCCCTCAGCACAGAATATGGATACCCTCCATCTCGTAGGAACTTATCGAGGCATGTCTGGACATTCTTCAGTGACCGAGGACGAAGATTCTCGCCCGCCATTTACTTTCTTGGCCTCCTTGAAGAAGTCAAGCAGAAGTTCATTTAGCTTTTCAGGGGTGGTAGAAAACAAGTCTATATCCTGATTACATTTATGAAACAAGAACCTTTGGAACTGCTTTACGGTGTACCGCATGGTTGCAAGAGAAGCTGGGCTCAAGTGACTACGCTTCCTCTGAATATTATCCACTGCATGCACAGGAGCAAACGCCAGACCGGAACTGAGGGCATTTCTTGATCCCTCGTCCTCCATTGTAATGTCAAGGTCATCGTCAAACAAGTCCAAATCTATGACCTCATCATCCTGAGGTAGAGAAAGCACCTGATTTGATGGAGCTGAGGACGCTGCCAATGTTGAGGGTTCAGCGTCAACCTGAATGAATGTTTGTGGCAAAGTCACTCTTTCCTCCACCAACTGGTCAACCACCCAACCCCCATCGAGGGAGTCAAAGGTATCCTGTCTGGAACTGGTCCGTTGTTTCTTTAAAGGAACAGGTTGCGACTGCTCCTGATAACGTACTGTCGGAACCAAATCTTGTCTTTGAGTGGTTTGTGGAATATAATCAGGAGAAGGAAAATTCTGTTTACTTCTCCGTAACCCTGAGTGACTGTCTCTAGTAATTTGTTCAACATTTAAACTTCTTTCTCCAAACCGACCCACTGGATCCCTGACGTTTCTGTTTGTTTTGCACGACTTTGTACAGAAGCTCTCACTGACCACATTACCACTGCTCTGTAGCAGTTCACTCAGGACGTATCTCTCCTTCTTCATGTTGTCGATCTCCACACACACATAGCCACTGACCTCCACAAACTGACTGAACTGGAGGTAGTTGCGACACACATCTTGAAGCTGCTCCACGAAGGAGGTAAAGAATTGCACTGAGTACTGTGTTTCCATGGTTCCCAGCAGCCCCTATTCCTGGGATGAAAAGAATGACAGTTAGTTGTCTGCTGATGCCGGCATACTTGTCATCTCATCATATCAAACAATGAATTAAGGATGTTTGTTGATTAATGCCACACTCGGCAATATTACAACTAATTAACGACACCAGTATATAATGGAATCTGGTCCTAACAAACCAGAGGCTGATATCATGAGCAACTACCAACGACTGCTGTGCACAATGACACACAATCAACACTCCCTGAGCCTGACCACCCATTAAGCTTTTAATCTGAAAATAGTGATATTAAGAGCATTTATCACGACTGCCCCATACATCCAATACAACTGGGTCCAACCATCCAATCAACTTACAGTAACCTGGAAACAAGTGATTGATATTATCAGCAATTATCATACATGCCATGTATAATAAAAATATCACCAAGTCTGACCAACCAATCAACTTACTGTAACCCCAAAACAAGTGGTTGCTATTATGAGCAATTATCATACCTGCCATGTATAATAAAGATATCACCAAGTCTGACCAACCAATAAACTTACTGTAACCCAAAAACAAGTGGTTGATATTATGAGCAATTATCATAACTGCCATGTATAATAAAAATATCACCAAGTCTGACCAACCAATCAACTTACTGTAACTGAAAACCAGTCGATGACATTATGAGCAGAATAGATGTCTGCAATGTATAACAATAGACATCACTGAGTCAGACCACCCAAAATTTGTCACAACGACAAATTTATTTGAACATTGATTATGGTTTGTTCATTTAGCTATGGTTGGGGATGGGTGGCAGGGCAATGGATACGATATGTTACATATATCTCCTGAGGGTGCAGGCATGCATTAGTCAGATGATTCAACAGAGGTTGAAACAGTAATGGGAGGAAGGGTATGGAACATAAAAGATTAACACAATTACACCCCACTCTCTGGCAACACCTTTCTCATGATTACATAATGTAGCTTTAGATTATAAACATTATATATGGTTATTTGGAACATATTTCTTCACCAAAATGTACTAGTGTCCTGCTGGATGTGTTTGAAAAGGCCTCGGTTCGAATCCCAGTGGAGACACCAAAATTTGTGACCTGGGTCTCATACTGTGTTGTGCCCCTGGGCAAGGCACTTCGTCCACATTGCACTCAGTCCACCCAGGTGTTCAAAATGGGTACCTGAGAAGCGGATGTACGGACCTATACGGTCGTGCGAAGCGCTTAGTAGCAGCTTTGAAAGTACAATTCCTTCAGGGTAATAATGTAACACCAGAGAGCAGCATCATTTTGGATTCTAGGCGCAAAAATTAGCATTATTATTATTATTATTATAACAAAGGAGAAACTAGCATTTGTTCGTACATGGGTAACAAAAAGACAACATCACACCAATAAAGTATGACACTAGAGGTGTGACGATACAGAAATTTCACTACGATATGATACGTAACGCGATATCATGGAATGATACGATTCGATACGATGCATATCACAATATGCTATCTTTAGTTCTTTTAAAAAGTGTATTTTGATAACAAGAAACAGTGTAAATTTTGACATAACTCTCCATTTCGTGTGAAAAAAAAAAATCTCAATTTTAAGGTCAACGATACATATCACGATACGGAAAAAAGTATCGATATATTTATTGTCAGAAAAAGTATCACGATTATCGATACTACGATATATCATCACAGCTCTATATGACACCCATTAAAGGCCATATTTCTTCCACATAACAGCTAAAATCCAGACAGAAACTGACATAAAACTGGATTAAATTTTTATTATTTTTCAAACTAATCCATCCAAATAACCCAAATTAACCTGAAATTTTAATGTAGAACAATTTTCACTCTTGCTTGACAATGGTACAAGAATCTGTATCGAAACATCACACTCACAAAATAAAGAAGTTGTTATCCATAAAAGAAAAAAAAAGAAAACAAGAAAAAAAAGAAGAAAAAAGTTCTATATTGTACGTTTCAACTTCTAAAATGCCACTCAAACAAGTTATGAAATTTAAAATTTTGATTAATTAAATTAAGGGCGATGCATATGGCAACTACACCATTTGGATCACTGCCACTATTGTTTTCACGGGAGAAACTACACATATATATTCCTGTATAAATAAAAAACTTTTGGCACTTTAATCATTATTACCATTTTGTTTTTACCATTAAACCTACTGACCCAAATAACTTCATGCTAAACAAAATACAACAAGATTTGTCTTATTTCAACCAGCCCAAGGCAGTTGGTAATCTATTATCAGCAAACCATAGAAGAAATGAATAGCCTAGGTTCATCTACAAAAAACTCCAAACATTCCACTTCATGCTTCATGACAAGAAATTGTACATAGTCAAGAGAAAACTATGGATTATGATTTAAGGTTGCACCCAGAAAGACCCATCATTCAAGGATTTCCACACAAGATAGTCCATGCAAGAAAATATATACAAGGAAGTCCATGCTAGGACGTCCATACCAGGAAGTCCACGCACAGGAGGTCCAGGCACAGGCAGTCTATGCAAGGAGATCCACGCACAGGAGGTCCATGCACAGGACGTCCATGCAAGGATTTCCATGCAGAGGTGCTCATTCCCTGCACTATTAGTTCCACAAACAGTCCATGAAGCACTACTTCATAAAAACATATCCTCCAAAGTTAACATCTGTTCGAACCTTTTTGAGTAAGCCGTCCCTTCTTGAACTCACATGATCTTCTTGTTTACTGGGAGCCCTGACCCTATGACCAACTTGCGCCATATTGTTGTGAATGGATTCCAACCCATTGCCTCAGGAAGGAACCACTGTTCATTGTCCGACTTATTAACCTTCAGATATAATGGGAAATCGGCATCTTGGGCAATCTTTGGTCTCATGGCTTTGTATTGTTTGTAAAAATTCACAAAACATCGGTTCGGAACCTCTGGTTTAGCAAACAATTTTAAGGAAAACGATTCATTAATTCTTCGTTCCAGATATTCCTGCCCTTCATCATTTGTTTTCAACGAGATACATCCCCACTTTAACCCAAAGTGTTCTGCTGGCCGGCGGATGGCGAAATATTTGGAATTAAGAAACCACATGGTGTTAGTGAGGGAATCTGGGTTGTGCGGCCCCAGCTGATTCATACAAAACATGGTCTCAATGTCGTGATCATCAACAGGGCTGAATTTCTGAGTCACAATTTTGCCACTGTCCATAAGCTTCTTCTTGAGAAAGTCCCGAGAAGACTGGAACTGTTTGTCTTTGCTAACTGAATATGGGTATCCTCCATCCCTTAGAAACATTTCTAAATGAGCCTGGACATTCTTCAGGGATCTGGGCGTGAGCTCACCTCCTCCAATCTTCTTAGCATCTTTGAAATATTCCAATAACAAAACATTCAACCTTTCAGGAGGTGTAGACAGCAGATCAATGTCCTTCCATGACTTTTCAAAGTGAAATCTCTTGAACTGTCTCACAGAATGTCTGATAACATTCAAAGTCCCTGGACTCAAATTAGTCTTCCGATGCTGAACACTGCTGTAAGACTGGTCTGGCACTGTTCGCTGGTGTATAGCGACTGAAGTCTCCTCTCCTGGGAACGATGCGTCCATATCATCGTCAATCATGTCCAGATCTATTACTTCATCAGGATCCACTACAGAAGATGGAACAGTGTCTGTGAAGGATGGGGACTTGGTTACCGAGCCCGTCTGCCTCTGTCCATCTCCATGCTCTGATTCCCACGAGGTCACATGACCTCCATGACCTGACACAAACTCTGACTCGGGGCTAGGTGGAGATTGTGACATCTGAGGCTTGTAGTTATCCATACGTCTTGAAGATGTTGATGCATATGTCTCAGAGTCTTCCTGATTATGCCGTCTGCTCCTTTTACGTTGAAATTTGCCTTCTGTATTCCCCGGAGAAGTCCAGTCCTCTGAACCAGTCTTGGAATGTGAGTAGGATTGAGATTCCCAATCATTTCTTTCAAACTGAGTCCTGGTGTCTCTCTGATGATGGCCATTTTGTCCAGCAGATGTGAAGGCCTTCGTACAGTAGCTCTCGCTGACCACATTACCACTGCTCTGTAGCAGTTCACTGAGAACGTATCTCTCCTTCTTCATGTTGTCGATCTCTACACAGAGGTAGCCATGGATTTCCACGAACTGACTGAAGTTCACACTGTCTCGACAGAGTCTCTGAAGACTTTCCAGAAATGATGTAAAGAACTGGACTGGATACTGCTCCATTGTTTAAAGGCCTTTTCCTATGAAGAAAGAACCAGCTTTTAGTCCATGTTTGAATGTGGAAGTTGGCATATTGTTCATCTGGTGGGTGAAGATGGTAATTAATCTCATTAAAATGAGATGATGAGATCGCACTCAAACAAACCCTCCACAGAAGTGTCAGGTGAACATTCAAATAAACACTGATATTCTAAATTCACAGAACAAGTACGTTAAAGGCACTATTTCACATCACACTTCTCTAAAAATAAATAATGCACTTAACTCAATAATACTAACCATCAGCCCTCAGGGAAGCTACCATATAATTCATATAAAAACATTTACGGATTTAGATTACAATATTAAATTTAAAAAGTTCAAATGAATTAATTCAACGTTGCATTAAATCGATTATCATGCCCTCTTCTGGCCAAACATTATTTCAAGCGAACCCCATAGAGTTATGTCCCTTGGTGTGCGCTTTATGAATATCCTACGCACAACATGTGATTGAAACCAGTTTGGCAAACACTGACAACACCATGTGCGACAGTTTTCCATCTACAGAGCAATTGTTTACATTCCATATATGGCAAGTGTTCTCTGTTTGGAAGTTGTTCACCTCGAAGTTTCAATTCTCGATTTCAGGCAAGTCGTACGGGATAATAAGTCGTTTATTGCATCAATAGGAAGCTACAGTCAGTGCATATGTCCCAATATATCTAATATAGGCCAAAATATTGTTGAAAATGTGTGAAATTGTGCTGTTAAGTATGCACATCTGATTTCTATATCTGAGAACCTAGCATAAGAGTCAAATCCAAATGGAATATAATAGGCAGTATGATGACACAGATGTGATAAAGTATATGCCAGGGCTCGATTTAAGAGATGTTAACCCACTTGCACCAGGTGCAACCTTAATATATAAACCTGATTGCACCAGTCAAATTCCAGTTACACTGTTTTTATTGCAATATGTAATATCAGAAATATGCTATTGAATTATTTAGATATTCTATTCAGAAGTTTACCCACTCAAAAAATTGACTTGCACCTGGTGCAAGTTAGACTTATGACTAGGTTGCACTTTGTAATATTGGGTTGCACCAGTGCAAGTAACAAAGCACTAAATCGAGCCCTGTATGCCCTGTCAATATTAAGCACCACAGTATGCACACCCAAAAGGATGTACCATCGAGGGCATATAGTGTTCTATGTCTATCAATATGGACCTCCACAAGTACACAGTTGAAGCTGAAACCATTCAAAACTTGACATTTGACTTGCACAAAATCTCATGAAATTTACCCTGTCAACATAGGCTCAGGGTTCCCCAAAACATATAAAATTTAGCTTATACCATAAGAAATGAAACATCTATTATAACCCTTATATGCCATGGTTCAAAGCCAGAGTGTTAGTAACACTCTATTCTGACACTACAAGTTATGACAAGGGTATTCACCTCCATCTCTGTTCAGATGTTTACAATGATACCATCAGTGTCAGTTAGGAAGCGATGAAGATCATGATGATGATTGAGATCCCCGACCGCGTCATTTCCAAAAATCACGTTAAAATATGGTAGGGATACTTGTTGGTCCCTGCCTGGCGCCAGGCATTAATGGGCAGAACAAGGACTGGTCATGTCGGTGAGTCAGTAATATGAACAGTCTCTGATAGATCTGTATTCATGCTTCACTGCGGCATGGTATCTCAAGTGGGCTAGCACTATAAAACCAGCTTAAGTCTGGGCTAGGTACAGGGAGCCGTGTGTTTTACATGATACACACGCCATGCAAATGAAACATCATATGAGCGAAATATTCTAAGCCACGACGTTAAACCCAGAGTTTAGTACCTCACCTCACCTGACACTGTTACAAGTTATGACAAGGGTATTCAAGCTCTTTTCACCTCTAACTTCAGATGTGTACAATGATACAATCAGTGTCAGTTAGGAATGATGATGATTATGATGATGATTATGATGATGATTTGGAGATGTAATGCTCGCTTTCCGACAAAATGCGTACTTCACTTGTAGGCCAGTGAGGAATATGTATTTTCTCTTCATAAGTTGATGAGCTGCTTTCAGCTGACATCCCTCAATTGAGTATTTCCGAATAAATGATTAATTTGCCCCTTTTACAATGACAATGACATGTTCTACTTATGTGTTCTTCACTCTAACGATTGTAGCCATCTTTTCTCAAGAGAATAAATAAACAAGATACAATTTGGACCAAACAAAATTATCTACTTGTCTATTTGTTTCAAGTTATTCAAATTTCTACAAAACAAATTTGTCAGCTCTGTTGCAGTTCCTCCTTTGATGGAAGAGCTGAAGTTCAAAGCTTCCATACTTTTACAAAGCTTCCATACTTTCATGAATGTTAGTTGAATATTGCTCACACATGTTCATGATGAAAGTCTCCACTATTGTACAGAAACCTCAAAAATAAATTCAACTAAATTTTGATTGTCCTGCAACACACAATGCTTATGACATAAGTGATTGTTATCATCATTGGTAGTCATATGCAGAAAAGAATCTTTTCAGAAAAGAGACACTATATAATATACACTTGCTGTTTGAGATTGTAATTTGGAATGCACATAGATACTAGATAGACATAAGAATAGCACATGTTTTGAATGGGACTGGGTATGGGGTGAAAAGTCGCAATCATTCTTGTACATGGGTCTCATTATCAGCCTAAACGACCTTGAACCAACAAAAATAATCACTTCTTTTAGGACTATATCCTACATCTAAATCTACAACGCCTGTAGCAATTAATTTGTTGTTCACAACATACATTTTCTTTTGGAAACCATCTTGGATAAAGAAATCACAGTAATTGTTGCCTATCAGACAAGATTAGTCCAATTACTGGTGTTCATAATTTAAATTTTATATTTCAAAAATATTTTAAGGCTTGTAGAGTCTACCATTAACTTGGTACCATGTGTGCTGTAGGAGCTGTTTGTTAGTTGTTTAAACACCTCACTCTGCAATATTCCAGCTATATGGTGGCAGTATAAATAAGTACTACAACAGCATGTATACAGGTATATTGCAATACACTTTTCAAAGTGAAGCGCTACATATTGCAATATTTTTTCTGAGAACCAGTATATTGGGTAAAGAACATATATGAGGTTTTTGTGATTATCTTTATGGCTCAAATTAAAATCTACACAGACTTTCATTCACAACAATGTTTTCCTTTGTTATTCAATGACAAAACAGCAGACTGTAATACTATAAACTGTATTAAAACAAGAGAATCCATGACTATGCAACCTAATTTTGAGATTGTTGTTATCAGAACCATTACTCATGTTCAGGTATACTTATAATGTAGAAAATAGTGTCACTCACTGTCAAACACTTAAGTTCCCAATATATTGCAATATGGGTACCTGAATCGCAATATAATGTAATAAAATTTATTTGCCAATACACAGCCCTAGTGTGCAGTTTACAAATCCAAGATGCCCCAAAAAATGAACTATCAAGGGGGATAATTCAACTTACTACATAAAGTATCTGCATGCAAGTGCTCCTTATCTTCCGTACTAGGACTCTATGCTAACAGTCACTGAGAGGAAATGTCATCATTTCCATGATTTGGTTCAAAGTGAGATTTTTCAAGATGTTTTTTTCTAAAATATGTTATATTTGGGATTACACTTTCTTAGTAAAGTACAGATTCTAGTACTTTTGTTGGGTTGAGTTCCAATCTGGGATTCAGAACCCACCCCTTAGAGCACCTAATAGTGAGCTAATTGCCAGCACACAAAGTCACGCGCCTAGCCCACTCAGTCACTACAGTTTCCACAAGCCATGGATGGGACTCAACCCAACAAAAGTACTAAAATCTGTATATATACTAAGAGAGTCAAATCTTTGAAGGGCATTTAGAAGTGAAATACATAAGAAAAGCAAGATTTATGGATGTCAACTTCTTTATTGTGAATAACACGAGGTTTCGGAGTGTATGCTTGCTCCATCATTACACCTGATGAAGGAGCAAGCATACACTCCGAACCATCTTGTTATTCACAATAAAGAAGTTGACATCCATAAATCTTGCTTTTCTTACTAAGAAAGTGTAATCCCAAATATAACATGTTGCATTTGACTACTTTCTAAATGGCATTGTGTATTCATAGCTTTTTTGTCTAAACTTCAAATGTATTAAACATACTGCATTTAACCACATAGAAAAGTTTCTGAAAGGTTGTAAGAGAAAGCATTGAACGAAACAGGAATGCGGAAATGTACCATTAGAATTCGGGAGTTTTTAACACTTCCTCAGACTATGAGTTGAATATTGGGCTCTGGTCAGATCCAGACTATGCCCTGAACAGTGGATCACGATCTGATATTATGCACAAAACAAGCTATTTTCTAGCATAACATATATTCGTATATGCACCTGTTTCGTTTTCACAATTCGCATTAATGCGACTCTATTTCTTTTCCTTCGTTGTTGCGCCACGGTCTACCATTCGGAACACACCAGTAGGATTTCCAATATCCTTGTTTACACCGGAAGTCTTTCCGTTCACGCCGAGATTTTCCGAAAGATTAATGCGTGTACTAGTTTCCAAACGACAGCCTGCATGTTTTGAATTTTTCTGGAATGTGAACCGAAATTGAGAAGTTTTCCATATAAATGTTCCCTGTTACATCTAAAATAGTTTACATGCAAAGGCAAACAAAAGTTATAAAATGAAAGAGCTTACTTGAAATTGAAAAAAAACAATGTTTGTTTATAGATTCACTGCTAAAAGTGAATCGTTGAGTATGTGCTAACCAAGCAATTTTGTTTTTCGTTCATCTTATAGAGTATACTGATATACATCAGTATACATATGTATGTGGCGTCTGCTAAATCGACAAATGACTGATGATAGAAAGGGCGGGGCTTGCACTTCATCATTGCGCTGAACAATGTCACTTATTTCCATTTATATTTTTCTGGTTTTTTTCATCAATATTAAATACATGGAAAAAATGCAAAATAAATATACTTTAAGATCAGTGTTTGATTAGTTTATCCAGTTTAAATATCCTTTTATTTTTTTTGGTAGGAATCTAATCAATGTCACCAATTTCAATATTTTTTATTTGTTTGGGTGTGGGTTTTTTCATTAAAGGAACCTGTAAACACAACTTTTACAAATGTAGAAAACATACAATTTAAGTTTAATCAGTGTTTGGTTATTTTACTCAATTTATGTGTGCTTTTATTCATTTTTTGTGGGGATCTTAAACTTGGATACATAAGATACTTTTGAAGCCATCAAGTATGCATTCAAAAATTATCATTCACTTTGGGTATTGATAGTTTTCTGTAGGTATTCAATATATTTCACTCACTTTGGTCCAGCCATCAGGACCGCCTCCGTGGCGTTGTGGTTAGAGCGTCCGCCCGGAGAGCGGAAGGTCGCGGGTTCGATCCCCGACCGCGTCATACCAAAAGACGTTAAAATATGGTACTTGTTGGTCCCTGCCTGGCGCTCGGCATTAATGGGTACAAGGACTGGTCGGCTCGGAGTTCAGTATAATGTGTCTGAGTGGGGTATTCATGCTTCACTGTGGCATGGTATCTCAGTGGGCTAGCACTATAAAACCAGCTTAAGTCTGAGCTAGTACAAATAGCCACACATACACATACACACGCATGCACGTCGTCATATGAGCGAAATATTCTCAAGCACGACGTAAAACCCAATTTCACCTCACCTCACCAGCCATCAGGAGTGAGTGTTTGGTGTCGCTGCTTTTAGTAATATTCCACCAATTTCACTGCGAGGGACACAAGATATTGGCTTCAAACATTGTACCCATGTGGGGAAAGGAACCCGGGCATTCGGAACGTAAGAGGCGACTAAGGGGATCGGGTGGTCAGGCTCGCTGACTTGGTTGACACAAGTCATCGTATCCCAATTGCGTAGATTGATGTTCAAGCTGCTGATTGTCCAGTTCAGACTCGATTATGTACAGACCGCCGCCATATAGCTGGAATATTGCTGAGCGTTAAACAGCGAACCAACCAACCAACGCCTTGGAGGATACAGCTTTTTGAGAAAGGGTGTGTGTGCGTGCGTGCGTGCGTGCGCGCGCACTCTTGAGAAGAGGGGTGGGGTGCACACTTCATTTTCACGAGAGTTGCAATGGTCATTTAATAAACTTTCAGGACAAATTCCCGTCTGTATCCGCCTATGAACGGAGTGAACGCTTTAACCCCGGTGATCAGGAAGTTTTACATCAGTCAGTAACGAATAATTTTGTTTCAAATGTTTAACATGTGGCGAAAACCCATTACTATGGAATCCTGGAAGGGACATTGACGCGTTGTCGCCCTCTCAAATACAAGCAAAATGAGGCAAAATTAACCAAAACGCGACACGCGACACGCGTATAACGCGACAAATGGGCGAAATGTCGCGTTGTCGCGATATTTTTCCTCACTTTACTTGTTTTTGAGAGGGCGACAATGCGACATAGCGACAATGTCCCTCCTCGGATTCATACATTACAGTGTAATATAGGCAAACAATGCATGTGGCACATTGCTTACACATTATAGTCATGTATACAGCATGCCTGCATTCGATAAGTAAATACAGATCTGTATAGAAATGTCGGTATGCGAGTTGGAATTGATACAATGTTGATAGTCATGATATGACTGCCTCGCGACACTGTTATCAAACGATATGCTGAGCCAGTGAGGTGAGGTAAGGTGAAATTGGGTTTAAAGTCATGCTTGAGAATATTTCGCTCATATGACGACGTGCATGCGTGTGTATGCTTGTACTAGCCCAGACTTAAGCTGGTTTTATAGTGCTGCCCACTGAGATACCATGCCACAGTGAAGCATGAATACCCCACTCAGACACATTATACTGACCAGGCCTTGTTGTACCCATTAATGCCGTGCGCCAGGCAGGGACCAACAAGCACCATATTTTAACGACTTTTGGTATGACGCGGTCGGGGATCGAACCCGCGACCTTCCGCTCTCCGGGCGGACGCTCGAACCACTACACCACGGAGGCGGTCCTGAGTCAGTGAGCGTACATGTGCAGCTATGTGTCCGTCAATGATATGAGGTAAGATACATGTGCAAGTGTCAACATAGAGGCGGTCAGGTGACAAGGGTAAATAACCAGGCTTGCATCACACTACCAGTATGGCTGATATGGCATATCGATGCACTTTTAATATCATGTCAGCAGAGGTGTTAAGAACAGTGTGCGAAATTTTGCTAGCCAGTTGGGCTAGCTATGCCTGACAGTTACTAGCCCATAAAATAATTCACTAATTTGAATGTAGACATCATTGAGCTGCTAATATGATGAACATTTTTATCAGGCCATAATCTTGCATGATATAAAAGTGTATTAACTTAATAAGTCGGAGAGAGTGATATATTTACAAAATGACCCCATGAAAATTCACTAGCCAGTCGGGCCAGTGGCTCTTTCTCACACTGGTTAAGAAATGAGAATTACGTGCCCCAGTTCATAGCCTGTTTGACTAGTCTTCCATGCAATGATCCGTGAAGATCCGGGTTAGAATTGATCTTCAGTAACCCATGATTGTCGTAAGAGGCGACTAACGGGATCGGGTGGTCACAGGTCAGGCTCGCTGGCTTGGTTGACACATGTCATCGGTTCCCAACTACGTAGATCGATGCTCATGCTGTTTATCACTGAGTTGTCTGGTCCAGACACGATCATTTACAGACCGCCGCCAACTAGCTGGAATATTGCTGAGTGCGGCGTAAAACTAAACTCACTCACTTCCATGCAATTACGGCGTCTTTCAAACAAGGTGAAAATGCATTGACTTGCAAATAGAAACGTTTTACAGTTTGATGTTACGGAAAACAATACAAAATTTTCTATATTGCGTTTTTTCTCTCCATATCCTATACCATCCATTGAGTCAAACATCAGCTGCCTGACCTACTGCCCCGTAGCTTGAGATGATATCGGCCCAAGGTCGCAATCAAGGTATACGACTTATCTGATTGAACTCAAGGTCTCATATTTCTCTCAAGGTCTGACTAATCTCACCAGCTCACTGAATTCAAGCACATGGACCTACAATTTGGTTTATAAACACCATCAAAATGTACATATGTTTTCATTCGCCACCGTATGGTCATAAACCATATATGTATGAGCTGGCAACACAGCTCACCAACGTCACAAGCATAACGACGTGATGCTTCTTTTTATTGAATAAACTGAATTCTGTATTTAGTTCATCACCTGCCCCGGTGCCAGTGACGGTGTCTCAGTGTGACCTGTACTTGTACTCAGTGACCTGTACTTCATCACCTGCCCCGGTGTCTCAGTGACCTGTACTTCATCACCTGTCCTGATGGCTCAGTGACCCTGTACTTCATCACCTGCCCCGATGGCTCAGTGACCCTATACTTCATCACCTGCCCTGATGTCTCAGTGACCCTGTACTTCATCACCTGCCCCGATGTCTCAGTGATCCTGTACTTCATCACCTGCCCTGCTGTCTCAGTGAGCCTGTACTTCATCACCTGCCCTGATGTCTCAGTGAGCCTGTACTTCATCACCTGCCCCGGTGTCTCAGTGAACCTGTACTTCATCACCTATCCCAATGGTTCAGAGGAACTCTTGATTACAAAATACATGGTCGTGGGTTTTTATACACGCCATGCATTGTTACTTGAGAGACATTTTGTCACGAGTAACACATCCACTTTATAAATGGCAAACAGAGGTCTTGATTGTTCCAGATCATGAATCAAAACGAGAAGAAATATATATTGTTCGAAGCACCTGACCAGAGATGTCAGAACTGCGTGTTATTTTACCCACACTAAGTCAATCTCTAGATGATATCAAAATTCTCCCCATGGGAATTCAGAAATAATTTCCCCCAGCAACCAAACTGGCCATAGATGACACAACTGATTGGCTCTCCGAGACCTGGTTGACTAATGGCCTAAATGGCCCAACCTTAGAACACCCCACCAAATAAGCACACGTGATATCAAACATGTATATTTGTACCTCTTTGTTTCAGAGAACATGGTTGCCATTTCTTGACATGACGACCCGTCCCCACTCTAACTATGACGTTAGACAGACGGACCGCTGTCATATAGGCTATTAGCTGGAATATTGCTGAGTGCATTAAACAACAAACAAACAAAACACAATGAAGCAACGCACAACGCTCACAGTAGTCCCGCGGTTGCCATACTCATTACTCAGTACATTTGTAGTAGCACTGTTGAGGAGTTTGCACAAGTCACATGATCCAACATTGTCACATGATCACAAGTGAACTGCACCGAAAGACTGATCTAGTTGAATGTAGGCGTTCGACACATTCGGGATCTTGAACAGTTTCGTGACAGCCATGCATCTTGCAGAGTTCTTGTTATTATGTGCATGTTGCACTGTTTTGTCAGCGAAGTCAAGTCGCCCGAACATTATTTTCATCCTCGCTGACGATTACGGATTCCATGACATCGGGTACCACAAGTCGGAGATAAAAACACCAAATCTTGACAA